AAATAAATAAATAAAATCTTTAAAAAAATAAAGCAATATCATTATTTGTGTCCTTAGTACATACAAAACAAAGAAAAAGTTTGTAATGATCTGAAACGAATCTCTGAAACATTCATAAGTGTAGAGAGTTCTGTGGCATTAAATATGTTCACATAGCTCTGTAGCCATCACCACCATTGTCTTCAGACTTTTTATCTTCCCCAGCCAAAACTCTGTACCCATTAAATGCTAACTCCCAACCCCCGTCCCCCCCACCCCTGGCATCCACTGTTCTGCTTTCTGGCTCTATGAATTTGACTCCTCGAGGAACCTCATGTAAGTTGGAATCATATAGTATTTATTCTTTTATGATTGGCTTATTTTACTTAGCATAAATCTTGTTTTAGCATTTGTCAAAATTTCTTTACCTTTTAAGACTGAATAACATTCCATTATATGTATATATCACATTTTCTTTATCCATTTATCCACTGATGGACATTTGGATGGCATCCACCCCTTGGCTATTATTCACATAATGGTGTAGTGAACACGGGTGTACAAATATCTCTTAGAGTTCCTGCTTCCGCTCTTTGGGACGCATACCAACAAGTGGAGTTGCTGGATCATATGATAATTATGTGTTTAATTTTTTAAGGAATTGCAATACTGTTTTCCACAGCAGCTACACTTTTTACATTCAAATCAGCAGAATACAAAGTTTCCAAATTCTTCACATCCTCATTAACACTTTTTTCTATTGTTTTTATAATAGCCATACTAATGGATGTGAAGTTAAAGTGCAAACTTGTGTTTATATGTATTTATAACTCCCAAAAATAAATTTAAGTATCAATGTTTGTTGCAGTCTTGTCAATGAAATTAAATGAGGAATCACTGTAGTCCTTAACAATACATTTTCTTTTGTTTTGTTTTTTGTTTTTTAGATTTTATTTATTTATTTGACAGAGAGAGGCACAGTGAGAGAGGGAACACAAGCAGGGGGAGTGGGAGAGGGAGAAGCAGGCTCTCCGCTGAGCAGGGAGCCCGATGCGGGGCTCGATCCTAGGACCCTGGGACCATGACTTGAGCCGAAGGCAGACGCTTAACAACTGAGCCACCCAGCCGCCCCTTAACAATACATTTTCACTCTAAGTTTATAATACCCACAATTTTATTAAGACCTCATAGCACTCTCCTGAGGCTTAAAAAGTCAAGGATTTCAGAAATAAAATTGGATCATGAATTTTAAAAAAGTCTTTAACACTGAAGTAGAGTCATTTATTAGGAGGTTGAGATGATTTAAAAATAATTGACAGTTTTACCAACCTAAAATATGTAATAACTTCGTTTTAATGCTTTGGATCCAATTAATGATTAATCTTTGTTTTTGTTGTTGTTTATTACTAGGAAAACACCGTAATTCTGCAGCAGCTACTCCCACTACGGGCCAAAGTAGCCAAACTCCTCGGCTATAGCACACATGCTGACTTTGTCCTCGAAATGAACACCGCAAAGCGTACAAGCCATGTAACAGCCTTTCTAGGTGGGGTCTTTTTTTAATCAGTTGTATATTTCCATTTTTCTTCTTCTTTGACTGTTTCACTGTATTTGCCTAAATGCATATGCTCTTGTTACGTATTTGTCCTGCATGATTTGTCACAAATGTAAGATAAACATGTATTTGGCTCTCTATGGGACATAGCAGTTTGGGAGGCAACCCCAGAGTGTGAGGTGAAGGCAACAGCCTGAGAAGCCCTCCAAAGAGAAAGAAGGAAACTTATGGAAGATACAAAGTGATCTAATTCCGATTAGGCCTATAAGAGAGTAGGTGAGTACAGGCAGCCAAGAGGATAACTCAGATGGGAATATGCCAATTTTAAATTAAAATAAATAAGGGAGAATGTGAAATAGGCAAAATTAACCACAGTATATAAATTGTGGTATCCATCTAAAAAGTGGAATTGCTGTATCCAAATAGACATTCTTTATAGGAAGGGATTAGTGATAAACAAAACCCATGGCTGTTAAAGGCATTGAGCAGTTTTTAGTAATAGTGATCACAGGTTGCCTCTGATTTAATTTCTCTGGCTTTTTGAGGAGGCTGTTCTCATTGAAGAATAATGATGGACATGAGATGGTTTCACTATTGTTTTATTTCCTGAATTATAACATTCTGGAGTCAGAGTTCTCTGAGATAAACTTGGGCTTTGTTGATGGTGTGAGAAAGTTGTGGCTTGGTTTAGCTGGTGCTGAAAAAATGGGAGGGCAAAGAGCCACAAAATAAATTACCGGGAAGAGAACAGCAAGGCTGTCATAGTCGAGCCTGCTTTCCTTCCCTCCCTCCTTCCTTCCTCCTGGTTATCTGCATCAAGTACTACAAAGGAGGAAGCACCATGCTAAAACACTGGTATGTGTATGAATGTGCTTGCTCCCAAAAGCAATAAATCACGGACTTTTCCCACTTCCCGCACAGATGATTTAAGCCAGAAATTAAAACCATTGGGTGAGGCAGAGCGAGAGTTTATTTTGAATTTGAAGAAAAAGGAATGTGAAGAGAAAGGTTTTGAATATGATGGGAAAATCAATGCCTGGGACCTACATTACTACATGACTCAGACAGAAGAACTCAAGTACTCCATAGATCAAGAGATCCTCAAGGAATACTTCCCAATTGAAGTGGTCACTGAAGGCTTGCTGAACATCTACCAGGAGCTGTTGGGTCTTTCATTTGAGCAAGTGGCAGATGCTCATGTATGGAATAAAAGTGTGACACTTTACACTGTGAAGGATAAAGCCACAGGAGAAGTTTTGGGACAGTTCTACCTGGACCTCTATCCAAGGTACTGAGAATCACATTGTGGGAAGGGACCTTAGGGATTGGATTCCTACCCAGATTAAGACTCTTGTCTGCCACAGTTCTCATGTATGGTTGGTTCTTAGTGATGGGAGTAAAGATGTGGGCTCTGAAGCCAGAGTGTTTGACTCCGTCACTTACTAGGCCACTTACCTAATGTTCCTGTGCCTCAGTTTCTTTACCTATATTATAGGTTCAATAAAAGGGGAATATTAATTCTACCTGCTTTGTAGGGTTATAAAGATAAAACGGTTGGTTAATTATGTACAAAACATTAACTGGAAGACTACCCTGCTTATAGCAATTGCTTAATAAATGATTGCAGCCATCATCATTGTTATCATCATTTAGTGTGTGCACTGCACTTACTTAATTTAAAATTGGCCCCCAAAATATTTATTATTCAGGTAATCTGTCTGCCAGTACTCTTCAGTCTCTGGCCATTTCCCTGAGTCCGGCTGAAGGGCAGCACAGTACAGTAGGAAGAGCAAAATCTTTGTGGTCATTCAAATTGAGTTGGATGCTTAAGTGACTTAACCTCTTTGAGACTGTTTCCTCCTCGGTAGTATGGAACCGGTGATCCCTTTACAGGATTGTTTTGTGCATTAGGCCATATATACATATTACCCAAGCTAGGTAGTCCGTCACTGGTAAGAATTGAAAACATTATTGTCTCTGAAACATTTGGTAACTATGGATTCTATGGTGCTTCATCAGACACGAAAGGATTTGGATCACTTCCTCTCTAGGCTGTTTCTAAAACAAAGCCAGCCTATTACAATTACCAATTCATTTTATTAACTAGGCCAAAGGAAATTACAGTAACCCCCTACTTTTGTAGCACAAACAAGTTTTTAACCCACAGACTTAGGGTGACTTTGGGTGGCTGCTGGGAAGGAGGCTGGATAACTGTGTCATCGAGACAGGGGACAATGGTGCCTTATCGCAAAGTTTTATGAACTTACTTTCACTTTTGAAATGATCTAAAAATAAACCCTTGTCAAATGTAGATGGGTCTCTTTTTAATAAGAGTGTTAGCATACTGTGTTAAGCCAGAAATTCTTTCAGGGGAAATCCTTCAACCCTGGAGTCTTCTAGAACTGTCCCCAGATTCTACTTCCAGGGTCAAAGATAGCAGCTCTTGCCACCCCAGCCTGCTGTCTCCCTGCCAACATATAATTGGTTTCTTTTGTGCTCTGAGATCTGGCCACGGCTACCAGCACTGGTATGGGAATCAGAAGCTGATCTCTTGTGAAAGTAGTGACCTACTTAATATTCACTTCCTGTCACCTTCCTGTCACTTCCTAAAAGTGAGATGGAGTAACTTGTTTTTTCTCAGCGACTCAAAAAAGGATATTTGGAGTAGGTTTAAGAAAAACCAGTTACTTTTTTCTTTTAATCACATTTCAGTGTTTATTCATTGAATACTGAGATTCTCAAAACAAAACCAAAAATACTCTGATGGTTCCAACATAAGAATCTTGATAGGGACATTTTTATTTTTTATTTATTTATTTTTTTAATTTACATTTATTTTATGCAGAATTTACTCCTGGGACATAAGTTTTTGTTTCTTCAGTTTCTTCTTGGGTATCTTTTTCTTCTGTGCAACGTCCTGTTCTGGTTTAGGAACAGTCTGCTCTTTTTCAGTCAGGACCCTCTCAGTGTGGCAGGGAAAACTCATGTATGGGTTAATCTGACCATGAGCCCTGTACATTCCATGCCACATCCGGGGGGCTTTGTTCACCAGAGAATCTACATTTAAACCCTTAAGGTACAGCATTACTCTCTACATTTTTAAGCATGTGCAGTAAAAATTCACTCTTCTTGGGCCAGCGACCCTGTGTCCAGCCCCACTGTTTGGCCCGGGCACACCTCCCAACTCCACCATTGTAGCCAGGGAGTGGTGCACGCTGCTTTTGCAATGTGACATCCTTCAGATACTTGGTGGCTTTCCAGATATGCATATTTTTGATGACCTGGGCAGTTTCACGTGTGTTCTTAAAGTGAACATGAAGATTTGAACCTCTTGATTTGCATGATTTTGTAGGGTCTTCTGGGTCAAGTGAATAGCAAACCATTTTCGGAAATCATCTCAGGGTGCTTAGGGGAGGAGCTATAGGGACATTTTTAAAAATCACCATCATTTTATAGACAAAATGTGAAAACGTAAAACTCAGAATATAGAATCCTTTAAAATTAAATAAATCAAGTTTCTTCCTAAAAGGAAAGATTAAAGACCCCCTCAGTGCCATTGATTTTTAAATCAGTAGAAAGTCTTTGATTTTAAGCTATTCTTAGACTTTAAAAGTTCTCCAAATATCTCAACCCTTGTCTGTCTAACACAGTAGAACCCATATTATTCTCAAATGAAGAATATGCTTTTGGGGAAAAAAATACATTTGGCCTTTCCTAATATACTAAGAGGTATAAAATATAATAGGATAAACATGTCCAGATTAGTTTTCCCCTGTTAAAAATAAGGTGGCTCAGTCATTAAGCGTCTGCCTTAGGCTCAGGTCATGATCCCAGGGTCCTGGGATCGAGCCCCACATCGGGCTCCCTGCTCCGCGGGGAGCCTGCTTCTCCCTCTCCCACTCCCCCTGCTTGTGTTCCCTCTCTCGCTGTGTCTCTCTCTGTCAAATAAATAAAATCTTTAAAAAGAAATAAATAAATAAGGTTTATAGATCTGTTTACACATTTACAACTAACTACATGAAATTGTTCTAGAAAGCACTGACTAGCCCATTGAACCACCGGAATCTGGGATGGCTGAAAATGTTATCATGTTCCTGTATCGTTTCTGCTGTACCTGTTCGTGGCTTCTGTCCTCTCCTTTGTCTGCCTTCCTTCCCATGTCCCTGCTCAGTCCTGACTTAGCCAGACTCAGCTGACTCAGGCCCACACTGTGTTCCTGTCCTTCCTTCAGAGGTAGAGGATTTTTTCTGTTCTTCTGGCCTTGGCAGTGAGTTTTCACCAGTGCTTTTAGGGCAGCAGAGTTCCTTGCCCTTCCTCCCAGAAGCAAGGCAATGCTCCGTTCCTCCGTGAAGGCAGCCGCTCCCTCTTCAGGCCTGCATCAGGACTGATGCTCTAGCAGGGTATTACCCTGCCATCATCTTTTTGTGTGCCCACAGTGAGGTTCAGGGAGAAGACCCTGCAAATGGATACACAGCATCCTTATCTATAGCTCCCAGTGGCTCCCTGCTTTTGCTGGTCCACCATGGCCTTTATCAATGTGTTAAAAGACTTTTCTTACTGGTTTCTGCAGTATTTTCCCCAGGTAAAAAAAAAAGTCCTTGCTTCCTCACTTCCTCTCTCCCTGGAGGCATCTGTCTTAGATTGTAAGTTAGTTGATTGCCTTCCCATTAGTGATGAATTCAAGAAAAGTTGTGACTTGGAGATTGTGTAGCATATTGTTGTGTGGATAGGAGCAATGCCCTTTCCAGCTCTATACCTCATCATAGGAAGCTGGAAAAAGCTAATTGTTGTTTTGGTTTTTTTTTTTAACTTGAATAGCATCAGCAGGGAAAACAGATTAATAAGGAGTCACAAAGAAAAGATAATATAAAAAATTTATATATCAATCAAAACAAAAACTAAAACTTCTACCCCCCAAACCTGAATATACTGTTAGTCTTCTAAGCAAAAAAAAAAAAAAAAAGACGGAAACCTACTTTAGAATAAAGTCCAATTGCACATAGCTTTTGGAGAGACCATCACTGATACCCCATTGTCCAAGAATAGATAACTTTATAGTGTAATTTTTGCTTTCTCCCAAGCTAACTAAAAGCATTCTGTTTCAAAAAGTCCTGACTAGTTTATAAATAAAGGAGCACACTTAATTGTGAATACTGATTCTTCCTCCCTTGAATAAAAGGAACAACCTTATTGTCTGGTTTTTATCAATTCTAATTTTAAGAAAAATCTGCTTAGTAAATCAAACTGTATCTTTTATCTCAAGTTTGCTTTAATACAGTTTAGTGTTTAGTGACACCATCTTTGAAGAAGAAAAGTAAGATTCCGTCAAAGTAAAAACTGGGCTCTGTACTAGGTGTGGTGTATATTCTTGATTCTTACATTAAGGTTTTTCCACAAAAGAAACCTTGGATCTAACACTCACGTGAAGTGATAGTGGGGTTTTTGTTTGCTTAGTTTCAGTTTGTCCATTTTAATAAAATGTTGACCTACTTTCTCAAGGGTGGATTACATGTTTCAAAGTGTCCTCTGGTATCAAATAAGACTTCATGACTGAGAGAGGTCACAGCAGTGTTGTTGCTATGGAAGAGTGTTCCTATCTCACCAGTGATGCTTCTGGTTCCCAGGGAAGGAAAGTACAACCACGCAGCCTGCTTTGGTCTTCAGCCTGGCTGCCTCCTTCCTGATGGGAGCCGCATGATGTCGGTGGCTGCCCTCGTGGTGAACTTCTCGCAGCCAACAGCAGGCCGTCCCTCTCTCCTGAGGCACGATGAGGTGCGGACTTACTTCCATGAATTTGGTCATGTCATGCATCAGATTTGTGCACAAGTGAGTGATTTTTTTTTATCTTAAACCTACCAATTGTGTTTCTGGCTTTTTATTTTTTCTACTGCTGTTAGGTTCCTCCCCTTAACATGTTTTTTTCAGAAGCTGAACATGCTCAAGAATCTCATAGGCCAGGCGCCTGGGTGGCTCAGTCGTTAAGCGTCTGCCTTCAGCTCAGGTCATGATCCCAGGGTCCTGGGATC